AAAGACAATTTGGAACTCTTGCCTAGAGCACAACTGGAACACACAGATTTATTTAAAGCACTGGAAACTGAAAGACAAGACTGAGATGCTAGTTTATTAGGTATTTTGAGTGCAGGGTGACCCAATCTGTGATGCCAAGTCTGCTGTGAAGCTTTAGCAGAAGCTGCAAATGCCTTTTGATTACCAACAATAGAGGATGCATGAAATGGATAGAAACCAGCTCTCACAGGACCTTTAAAAAGCGTTTTATCCGAAGAAAGATTCTTCACAATGAAGTGAAAATGATACAAATGAATAGAACACCAATTATCAAGAATAAACTGATTTACGGAAATCAAATCTTGCTTAAGATGAGGAACATGCAAGACATTTTTAAGATCAAAACAATGAGAACCATTATTAAGTGTAGAAGAACCAAAATTGAGTATAGGCAAACCTTTGCCACCACTTGCTCAAGTCCAGTGTATGGCTCAAGATTCTGCAAATTTGTGGAGGAATGAGTCATGTGCGAGCTAGCACCAGAATCAAGAAGCCAAGGATGAGGGGTAGAGGCATGATAAGCAGCTGGAGAATTCTTGTTACCAAAATTGGGATTCATGCGCTGAGGACACTCAACAGCTTCATGATCGAATAGGCGACAAATTTGACAAGAGATCTTTCTGTGAGAATTGTTGTACTGAGAACGAGGACCACGATTGTAACGATGATTACCCTGATTACCGCGATTAAATCTTTGATTGCCCTGAAAACCTTGATAATTCCGCTGGGAACCACGATTGGTGTAATTACGAGATTGAGAGAAATTGCCACGATTCGGAAGACCATAGGATTGTGAAGAAGATCCGTTCTGAGTAAAGAATGCTTGAGCACCAAAATCACCAAGAGGTGTAGGAAGAAGACCAGCAGAAGCATTAAAAGCTTAAATGGGAGCAGATGGTGAGGTTTTCTTGCGAGCAGTCAGTTGAAGCTCCTTACTCAAAAGCAGCCTATAAAGTTCATTAATAGTGGTTGAACCCATGCGAAATTGGATTGCATCAATGAAAGACTCATACTCAGAGGGCAAACCATGTAAAATTACAGAAATCAACTCAAAATCTTCGATTGGGGCGCCTGCATTTGCAAGAGCATCTGCGATTTCTTCAATTTGTTGAAGATAGAGCACAGCCGTAGAATCACCCTTCGTGATGCTACGAAGACAAGAACGAAGCTCATGAATGTGCGATTGCGATGTAGTTGCAAGTCGCGATTCCAATTTTGACCAGAGCTCACGAGCCGAATTAACTCCAACAGTGTACGGAATTAGGGCATCTGATAGGGTAGAATTAATCCAAATCAAGATATTCTGATCATTTTCAAACCAAGTAACATACTGAGGATTGAGAGTAGAGGTTTGATTACCCGAGGAGTCAAGAAGGTATTTCGGCGGAGCAGACATCGTGCCGTCAATGATTCCGGTGAGATTGTACCGACGAAGGATGGGAGCGAACAGAGCACTCCAGGTGAGATAGTTCGTCGATGGAGCTTGATTGGCACCATAGATCCAATATTTTGGATCGTAATCGACGATGTCGTCGAGGAGAGAGAAGAATTAGGGCAAGAAGCAGAGCCAGAAGAAGGAGATCCAGCCATGGCGATTGCTAGGTTTGGAAGAATCGAAGATAAGGAAGCGGGAGATTTCTAGGGTTTGAAGATTCGAAGAGGAAGAAGCGGGAAGCAGAGGAAGAGGATCAACTGTCGTAGGACTTAGGCGAGTGATACCATATTAGGAAAATTATCCTTTCATTTCATTACTTCAATAAGATTACACAATGATGTCTTATATACTAGCTACTCACCAGTATTAGATAACTAACTAATCACACCTTCATCAACTAATCACTCACTAATTACAAAACTACCATAACAACCTTAACTGTTTACAGTTTTACCCTTATTAGTTTCGGCTCTGAATGCGCGAAAGTTTTCTGAAATTTTGTGTTCACAATAGTTTTTCTGAATTGCAGAGTTGTCTATGCAATTGCATTCTTGATGCCAAACACAGTAGTACTTCCCCGTTTTGAGGAAATTGTTGTATGATTAAAGTTTTGGTGTATGTGCAGGAAGGGATAAGGTTTTTGAATACATGGTTAGAAGGAGAAAGATTGATTGGTTTCTGTAAATATCTCGGAAAGAACACTCCAGAGCTTAAACCAGATGAAATTCCTCACTGTATGATGATGATTTTATTCAAGATTAATTGCAAAGTTTGTAGTAAAACACATATAATCGTTACAATAGTTGAGTGAACTGCTTGTATTGTTATTGCAGCCTAGACCTGGCCATTCTTTATTAATCTGCTGATTCAGTGTGCTTCGTTGGAGATATCCTCCTCAAGCAAGCGGCGATTGCCCAAGTTGATATATGCAAAGACTCTACGGATAGTTGTGCAACAAGCAGAGGATGATAAGTTTTCAGGTATTAAAAACCGTCAGCAGATTAAGCTTTGAAGTAGTGCAAGTAGTTACCTGGTTAAACAGTCTACATCTAATTATGCTTATGCTTGTTTTCATCAATCCTTCATTTTGTTGTTTGATTCGTAAGTACCACGCACACATTAGTAAGGATCTTTTAATTTTATGGTTCGAGGGCACATGTGAAAGCTTTTAAAGGTACTGCATGCCATTTTATAGTTGTAATCGTCCCATTAGCTTTAATCAAACTATTGTCTATTCTGATGTCTCTCTCTCTCTATATGCTTCTTTTAATATAATTGCTCTTAAGGAACAAGTGCTAATAATTTGACATGAGTACTAGGATATTACTCTGAGTTTTATTCAATCTAAACCTTGAATGCTTCTCTTTAATTGTTGTCATACTATCTTGGAGTCGTATACTTGGTGTTGTTCTGAGTCTTGTATAGATCATGTGCCATATTTTGTTGCGCGATATGTATATGTGTGTATATATACACATTATTTGGGAGAAAAAAAAAAGAAGTGACAAAACCCTTGAAATATGTGGTTGTGTTGGATGAACGCCCCATCTTGTTTTCCTAAAAAACAGATACAGGAAATGTAAGATGGGTATCTATGCATGCTTCTGTAGGGAATTTCTTCTGGACAGTTAGTTGACTCAGATGTAAAATATTGCAAATCTGGTCCATATTTATGGGGTACTTTTTAGCACACTATATAAATTGGTGATGCTTTTAGTTTGTGCTCATTGTTGTGCTGATGGAATGGAATATATTGCAGAATTTTGAATGATGCAAACATGGTACATTCTTATGATGGTCTGCTATGGACACTGAGGTATGCTGCACTAATTAACCTTAAACACACTTTTTATGTAAATCTTGTTAAGTGTGTAGCCAGGTTGTGTATAACCATGTGACATTGGTGTTCCGTTTGGCTTTGCCATAAATGGTGCTCCACTAAGTTTAATATACTTTATCTGCACAAACATCTACTAGTTATTAAGATATGGATGACACCAATAGATTCTCCCTCTACCTCTCTAATCCCCTGCTTCTTATGAGCTTATATTTATATATTTACATGCATCTAAAGGAGCTTGCAGGAACTTTCTTCTGTGCTGTTGCTTCCAGATCCAAAGCTGAAGAAACTGTCAGACTCGTCTCCCTCGAATGAGGTGCTTGTTTTTTCTTTGTTTCTTTTGTTGTAATTCTTTTGACGACAATGTTTCTTTTTTATGTTGTCCCCTTCTAGATGTAAGCCTGTTACATTCAAGGGGTTCAACTGAAGGATTTTTTTTAAGACTATTAGTAGGTATACTACAGTTAAACAACCCTGGGCTTGTACTATCCAAGGACTAAGTTTTTTTAGTGCTGTCTTTAGGGACTCTGCAAATATGTAATATATACGGAATATGTTTGACCCAAAAAAAAAAAAACCCTAAACTCAAATTACTCACTTCATCTTCCATTCTGGCTATGACAACTGAGGTTTTAGTGGTTGGTGGTCCTGTTGACATTTCCCAATGGATTAGCTCAAGTGGGTGAGCTAGCTATGTTTCTGATAACAGGCAAAACAATATTTCATCTAAAATATATTACTGGACAATATTTCTTCTGAGTTTTTGGACCTTGGAAAGGTTGAAGATGTTGCTTCTTTTTCCTTGAAATCATGATTCAAGTTTTAGTTTTTCCATCATTAGGTTTATACAATATCTCCTAAGATTAGTGCAAAGTTCTAAGTTATTTTCCTGCACGTAGTAGTAACTCGTCAGATAGCCAGCAATATGTACATATTAGAAGAAGATTTAGCCTAATCTATGATCTTTGTTGTTGTTGGGTCTTGTTTAACTTTTGTTATGGTTTCTTCTTAATTCTTACATAGACTCTAGAAATAAATGTCCATGCACACATGTATCAATTTTAAAAGAAACACTAAATTTCTGGTTATTTGACATAATCTTTTAATTTCAATTAGTTGTCTTGGCTGAACATGGAATGGAGTTCCATTTTGGAACGGACACAGTTACACATGAATTTACTGGAGCCTTTTATAGTGTTCAGGCGAGTGCTACTTCAAATCTCAAGTTGTAGGGACTGTGCAACATCTTCTGCAGTCCACTTCTACCCTCCGTAAGGTATTATCAGCATTTTCATAATCATACAACCATCAACTTAAGCCCATTTCCTGATATTTCCTAGTCTCGTTTCTTTGTTTTACAGGGTTCTAGATTTTCTCAAGCCGCTGCAGCCTTGCATGAGTTTAAGTTGCTCGCTGTCGAATCAGGATTGGAAGGGTACAGAGTCCCTATAATTCTTATTTTCTTACCCTGCTTTAAGTCACCCTTTACAAAAGTTAGAAGTTTACACTGGTAAACTTTTGTTTCATGGCAGCTTGAAGAAGCAAAGCTTCTGCGTGGCCAAGGTCAGCATGAGATGGCCTTCAATGGAGTCTCACTTTTGTTTTTAATCTTCTCTTAAATAAATGTTTCAGTAGCCTGTTTCCTCTCGGTACAAGTACTTATTTCTTGTTTTTCTCATATATATGTATATTTTTTTTCAAATAAATTTACAGGTAATGCAACAATTTTTTGGTTTAGTCAACACCTTTCTACAGAACCACCAGGATACATGGAAAAGAAGATTAGGAGTGCGTACATACAAGGTATCTTCTTCAACAATAATATCATATCACGTCATTATAAAGCAGAAGAATTCACCAGCGTTCTTTCTTTGGATGATTGTTGTAGTGCAATGTGGAATTAGTTCCCTTGATTGTTTTGCATTTTCTTGAACATTTACAGTTTGAAATTTCCATTGAGAAATGCATGTTATCAGGTTTGTGTCATGTATCTTTAATTATTATACTGATCTGTGTGCCCCTTTGAGGATTTTGCTGTAAATGAATTCTTGTGCGTGAAAATTGCATTATAGATTCCGACTGGATATGCATCTCTTTGTTAAAATATTTTTTTCCTAACAATGATCTTTATCGTTTAGTTCTTTTTTACCTATTGAAACGTCATGAAATAGGTAGTTCCATTTACTCCAAGTGCCGGTGTTCTTGAATGGGTTAATGGCAGTCTTCCTCTTGGAGAATATCTTATAGGAAGGTAATGGGTACCTTCTTTTAAAGCCAACGTGAGGATTTACAATGATCGAATAATCTGGTTGTTCTAATTTTCATTTTTTTCAATTTTCAGCACGAGAAATGGAAGGGGCCATGGTCGCTATGGAGTGGGGGACTGGTCATTTCTCAAATGCCGAGAACACATGGCAAATGTAAGTACGGATTCTTAAAATTTTGTAACGATTGGAAGTTTATTGTGAGTGAAGAAAACCAATTAATCAAAAGAGCATCATTGAGAAGGACGATTGCTCTCCTGTTTACTATAAACATGGAAAATTTGTACTCTCATTCAAAAGCAGATGTTCACCTTTAAACAAACTTATATAAATGCTTTGGTTTTCGGTAGGGAAAGGATTCAAGGAAGTTTGTGGGAAGTTCAGTTATATCATTTCTCTGGGTGAACACCTAGTTTTTCAAATATTAAGCTGGTGAGCATCTTAATTCCAAATAAAAACCTCGTGCAGGCCTGTCATGCATCATTTTTTCTTGGAGAGGTTTTTGCAACCGGCTGACTGGTTTGAGAAGAGACTTTCATACACGCGAAGTGTTGCTGCTAGTTCAATGGTAAGTGATTTATACTCATTCTGTGGCAATTGGTGTTTGGCCATGGTCTCTAATAATTCTGAAAACCGTGCTCCATATTCAGGTTGGTTATATTGTTGGCCTCGGAGATCGACATTCTATGAATATCTTAATTGATCAAATGACTGCAGAAGTTGTTCGTATAGATCTTGGCGTTGCCTTTGAACAAGGCTTGATGCTCAAAACACCAGAACGGGTTTGTACTTTGTGATTATTTTTTCCCTGCTAAGCTTGTTTTCCTAGCTTACTGACATAAATACTTCAATGTTCTCATATTAAACCGATATTTACATATTCCATTTAGACTTACAAGGGACATCATTGATGGCATGGGTGTCACCGGAGTGGAAGGGTTTTTCAGAAGATGCTGTGAAGAAACTCTTTCTGTTATGAGGACAAATAAAGAAGCACTACTGACCATCGTTGAGGTATGTTACTCGAGTCAATTTCTCTAATTAATAACCAAAATTCGCAGCTTCTCACTTCTCTCGATATCTGATGGGTTTTCGATGCAGGTTTTTATCCATGATCCACTTTATAAGTGGGCTTTTATCACCTCTGAAAGCTTTTTGCAGCGTCAAAAGGTAATGGAAACTTAGTAGTCTGTTTACGTTCAGCGTATGCATATCCAATCTAAGTCCAGGACTAAGGGGGTGGAATAAATTGGAGGGATCACAAAATATCAAACGTGTAATGCAAACATCCATCTCAGTTGACGTTCTTAAATTGTTTCACCAGTAGCTGTTCGTTATTGCTTACACCGAAAACATTTCTTTTTCTTGGTTAGGAAACGGATGATGACTTGAATTTAAGCTTTGAAGGCTCGCAAGATGAATATGAAGGTAACAAGGATGCTGCACGTGCACTGATGCGTGTAAAACAAAACTCGATGGATATGAAGAAGGGAAATGCGAAGCATACATGGACAGGTAGTTCTCGTGCCCCGCAGTTTCATCAATGTACCTATAATATGGAACAAGTAGCACCAATGAAATTTAGTTGAAGATTACATCTTAGCTTCGGATATCTGTCTTAAGAGAAATCTGAGTTTGCAGGTTCAACTACTTATACAAGATGCGATTGATCCCGAGCGTCTTTGTCAACTGTTTCCTGGATGGGGAGCGTGGTTATGATGGATTCCTTCGTCGTCTTAGTCCCAAAAACTTTGAATCCTCTTTGTACAGGCGGCTTTTGAATGTATTTCTTTTTGTATATATACCCGAGCCGTTGTATCGGGTGTAAGTTGGTCCGTATATAGTTCCATAGGCTCCGATGTATAGGCCTACAGCTGGTGGTTGCACAACTTGCACCAGCTCAACTAGTGATGTATATTAGGAAAATGATTTTCATTTCACAAAAAGAATAAAGTTACACTTTTTAGTATGTATACAAGCTGTGAAAGCCAGATGTACAGTAACATCTTTCTAACTAAGGAAATCATATCATAACAAACTAATAGTTTCCTTAACCTCTAAGTATTATCCCTAGAAGATGAGTTTACAATATTGCCCTTAATACCCCCCTCAAACGAAACTGCGGAATTCGAAGTTGAAGTTTGTCTTGAAGAAACAGAAATTTGAATTTAGAGAGAGACTTGGTGCATATATCAGCCACTTGATCTTGTGTACAAATGAAGTGAAGAGACTTGCTTGGCCAAGACCTTTTCCCTAATGTAGTGATAGTTGATTTCAACGTGTTTCATCCTAGCATGAAAAATGGGATCCTTGGCAAGGGATATGGCTAGGACATTATCACACCAAAGTTGAGGAGAGCAAGGTAGACAATAACCAATATCAACTAGCAATTTACAGATCCAGGTTATTTCAGATACCCATACTCTGCCTCTGTTGATGAACGAGCTACAGTTGGTTGCTTTTTAGCACTCCAACTTATGATTGAATTTCCCATAAAAATACAATAACCTCTAGTGGATCGCCTATCCAAAGCACAACCGGCCCGGTCAGCATCTGAGAAGGCTTTGATGTAGGGATTAGTGGAGCATTTAGAAAACCAGAGGCCAAGATCAATGGTACATTTGAGATACCTAAGTCTTCTCTTGACAACTTGGAGATGGGAAACTTGGGGAGTATGCATGAATTGACAAACATGATTAACCGCAAAGCTGAGATCTGGTCTTGTCCATGTTAACTATTGGAGAACACCAACCAAGGATCGATACTCAGAAACATTATCAATGAGAGGAGAATCATGATCAAGGTTGGAGGTGTTGAGTGGTGTATTGCAGGGTTTAGCTCTAACCATTTTAGCCTTAGTTAATAGGTTCAAAATGTATTTAGTCTGAGATATGACAATACCAGTGGAAGACCTTTTTACCTCGATCCCAAGAAAGTAGTGCAAAGCTCCAAGGTCTTTGATAGGAAACATAGTGCTGAGTTGTTTGATCACATCTTGACAAGCTACAGATGAATAACCAATGACCAGAATATCATCCCCATAAACTAGATTGAACATCAATGTAGGATCCTTTTTGACAAAAACAGAGTGATCACTTTGAGAGCCAACAAATCCAAGAAAATGAAGAGCAACATGTAATTTGTCATACAAGGCTCGGGGAGCCTGTTTTAGGCCATATAAAGATTTATGTAGCTGGCACACATGATTTGGTTTTGTAGAGTCTTCAAATCCAGGAGGTTGCTGCATGAAAACAGATTCAGAAAGAGTGTCGTGCAAAAAGACGTTGCTGACATCTAGTTGATTAAAAAAACCAGTAAAATTGGGCAGCAAGAGTGAGTAAGAGTCTGATTGTCACAGGTTTAGCCCCAAGGCTAAACGTTTCAGTGTAATTAAGGTCTTCCTATTGATGGAAGCCTTTTGCAACAAACCGGGCCTTGTAATGATCGATAGATCCATCATGCTTTCATTTAATCCGGGAAACCCACTTGCAACCTACAATGTTCTGAGATGAATTGTGAGGAACCAGAAACCATGTGCCAGTGTTGAGGAGAGCATTAAACTCTTCCTGCATTGTATGGCGCCAATGTTGATGTTTGGAGGCCTGGATATAGGTTGTGGGAATGTAATCAAGTGACAAATGAGAGGGTAGTGGATGTTTAGTTGCAATGAGAGCCTTAGGTTTGAATATGCCAGACTTATATCATGTTTGCATATGATGAATGTTGAGTGGTAGTGGGGAATGATCATTAGAAGAAGTTGATGGATCTGATTGAGGTATAGGGAGGGGAATGAGATTTGATTGGGAATTAGGGATTCATAAAGAGTTGAGTTGATACAGATGAGAATGTTTTGATCATTCTCAAACCAAGTAACATATGCCGGATTAAGACTACAATTGCCAGAAGAATCAGTGAGAAATTAAGACGGTGCCGACGAGGATCCATCAAACAAACCCGTGAGATTATATCGACGAAAAATTGGAGCGAAAAGAGCACTCCATGTCAGGTAATTGGTAATGGTGAGCTTAATTAGAACCATAGATCTGATGTTTTGAATTGTGATGTAAGCAGAAATTGAAGAATTAGGGTTTGAGGGTGCAGTCGGAGGAAGAACTTGAGAATTTGATTATGATGAAGGAGAGGCAAATGTTGCCATGGCCAGAGACGAAGACTTGAGAAATCGCAAAAACAATCAAGATCAGAAAGATAATCGATCAATTTGCAAGAATCGAAGAGAGAGGCACACAGAGAGAAGTGGGAGAATTTTGGATCGAAGAGAGAGGTCATGAGACATCGGCGGGTGATACCATATTAGGAAAATGTATTTTCACTTCACCAAAAGAATAAAGTTACACTTCGAGTACATATACAAGCTGTGAAAGCCAGTTGTGTAATATCTTTCTAAGGAAATCTTATCATAACAAACTAATAGTTTCCTTAACCTCCAAGTATTATCCCTAGAAGATGAGTTTACAATATTACCCTTAATAATGTATCCCCCATTACTGAAAAAAGTAATTTTATTGAAATACATGCAAGGTTTTTCTGGAATTGTAGCCGTAGGGGCAAAAATGCCTAATTACTTGGATGAAAGTAAATACTCATTTCCTTTTTTCACCTTTCATGAACTTAAAAAGGTAATTTTCTTTTTCAAGTCGAGAACTATTTACACATCACAAGTACGCTGTTATGTAATAATTCGTACTAATAAAGTAAAAATACAAAGACAAAAAATTTGCATATTTTTATTTTATTATCACGGACCTAACATTTTTCAACAGGCTAATTTTACTCTAGGTATCCGGATTGTTTGATTTTTTCACTTTTACAGTGCCTCTGACCCAAAAAGGATCAAACTGTGTTGACCAAAAAACTGGATGGAAGTGCCAGCTTGGCGGATTTACTAGCGAGTACAACTCTAGTGGTTCAGCTGGAATCCTTGTTCGACCCATAGAGAGACAAGGATCTTTATGCCCATAGCTTCACCTCCAAGTCCAACCCTTTCTAACTATCTTTCACTTACACGAAACAATTTTGTGTTGATTAGAATCTGTTTGAGAGTGATTATTAGTGCGTTAAAATCACATTTAAATCGTTCGGTAAAAATTTAAAAGTTTGTAATTGGGAGTAAAATCATTGACATACAAATGAAATGAGAGATGGTTCTTCTTAAAAGAAATTTCTTAGAAAAGAAAACCGATAATTACTTTAGTCTTCAATGAAACATTTTAAAATTAATGCTCAAACGAAAGTCCAACCCTTTCTAACTATCTTTCACTTACACAAAACAATCTTGTGTTGATTAGGGTCTGTTTGAGAGTGATTATTAAAGTGTTAGAATCACATTTAAATTGTTCGGTAAAAATTTAGAAGTTTGTAATTGGAAGTAAAATCATTGACATACAAATGAAATGAAAGATGGTTATTCTTAAAAGTAATTTCTTAAAAAAGAAAACCGATAATTACTTTAGTGTTCAGTGAAAAAATTAACGCTGAATCGAATCTTAAAAGATTGATTAGTGACACTTCGAAAATTCTTAAAGATTATTTCACGTCATAGCTGACTGCCTGTGTCATCACCTTCCACCAAACAAACAGCTAGAAGCAGACAACTTTGAGCAATGAAGTTATCAAGTTCTCAATCAAATTGTGACACTAATCCAAATTTTTTAACACACAAGGTGAGACACACTGTGAGACTTCCTCAATCCCTAAGACAAGATGGACAAAACATTCATTACTTCCAAAGAAAAATATCTATAGCCTCTATCAAATACACAACTCCATGTTTTACAAAACAGTGTTATTGATATTTCAAAAATCTTATTCTACATTCTCCACAAGTGTATTTTTCTTTCTAAATATAGAAAGTTTGGAGTCTAGAATGAAGAATTTGAAGTGCCAATAATAATTCCCTTAAAATAAAACTAAAACTAAAATGGAAAAGTATTAGATACTATGGTGGTCAAGTCTCTCTCTTCGATTCATTATATTTCGGATTAAAATCTCTTCTCTTTTCTTAATATATCTATTGTGTTCAACAAAATTAAAATTAAAATTCCTGAAACATGAAAGAAATTGATTTTTGCATTCCGCCTCTTTTACACATTTTTATTTATTTTTAACTTTTATATTAACTAAACAAATGAAAAACGAAGGAATCATTTGTGATAAAAATCCGTAAATCTTGTTGAGTTCATTTATGCATTTAATAGAATTTTTAACAAAATTGTGACAGAATGATTACATTGATTTGCAATACCTATTTTCATGGACTACATTGATTGATTTTCAATTTCAATGAAATGTTTGGATAACCATATCCTCCCGTCCAATTCCGTCGCCGACCAGTCTGAGCACCTCTTTCGGTCTATGCGCCCAATTATTCCCCCAAATCCCAATGACGCCCTTCCCATCCTGAAAAGGCAATAGATATTTCCAAGGCCATTATAGTAATTCCAACCGTTCAAAATCCATACGTTATAATTCCGCATTCGGGTAAACCGCCTTAACAGCCCATATACCATCCGGAGCCCCGCGAGATTGTCGCTAGTGAAAAACGAGGGGCATCCAAACCAATAGCGGCCGCACCCACTGATTTTTTTGCCCTTAGAGAAGAAAGGCGGTTCCCTCAGTTTTCCACTTCCCCCTTCTTCTTCATTCCTCCTCCCCAAGTAATCCAGAAACTCAGTTTCCATTTAAATCCCACCCCAAAAAACCACAATCCAAAACCACAAAACCTTTCTCAAATTCTCAACACCTCCCATTTTTTCTTTCTGGGTTTTTCTTCTAGCTCTTGAATCTCAAATCTTTAAGCAAAATTTCCACAGAAAAGTATTCGTTTTCGTACTTTTGGTTGTATAGTTTGTTTGGTTAGTTTGCGTTCTTGGCGTTCTAAAAAATCTGCCGACTCTTCTTCTTTCATTTCGTCTAGTGTTTTGGATCCCATTCTTTCTTCTTTTTGCTTAACCCCCAAGAAACTCCTATACATGAACACCTTTTAGATTTTAATTAGTTTCTGTTTTTCTTTCTTTC